ATGGGGCGGCGCCGCTGCCCATGGGGCCACGAACCTTGTGAGGGGTGCGCCGAAATGGGGCCGCGCCGCAATGTGGACCGGGGCGCGCCAGCATGGGGCGGCGCCGCCATGAGAACTTTGCCGCTGGGGCCTTCGGGGGAGCCCCCAACGGGGCCACGAAGCGTTGCACTAGGTGTACCGAAACACAGACATGCGGAGAGCAGAGGCAGGGATGGGAGGAGTGAGGGGGGGGAGGAAGGAGTGAGTGAGACGCGGGGCGCTGTTCAAAACGAATACCCAACACCACAGGATGGTTGGGACAAAAAGCAAACACCTAGAGACAACCAATGTATGTTGCATATTGAGGCTCTCTTGGAGGTCCTATTGGGGCCCTCTGTAGCCGTCTTGAGGCCGTCTTGGCCCTTTTTGGAACGCTCTTGAGCCGTCTTAGGAGTTTCTTGGGGCGACGTTGGGGCTGTCGTGGGATCCTTGGGGGCGCGCCCAGGAGTAAAGCCACCTCTGGGGAGAGTCGGCTGGGCTTCGCCGTGGGTACTTGTCTTCTGGGGACCCCAGGGACCTTCAAGTGCACTCGAATCAGTTAATGCACAAACACTCCGAACCTCCAACCAGAGACTGTGGCACGCCATTGGCCCGATGGGCGCGCGAAATAGGCGAGATGTTTTATCAGGAGGGAAGTGGAGCGGCATTAGTGGAAAAACCAAAGGGGACCGAAGCTGGGATCCCCAGGCGCCATTTGAATGGCATACTGGATCCATCGTGGGGACCTTGTGGAAGCCTTTGGGGTCCTCCTGGGGCCCTCCAAGGGCTCTCTCGGGGACCGCTTGGTAGCATTTGTCTCGCTTGTGAACCCGTGATGGAGGCAGTGGGTCCAAAAAGAGGGCGCGCTCAATGAGCATTGCACCCTTGGATCCAGATAGATCCCTTCGTGGATACATATCAAGCCTCCGTTGGATTCTCTTGGGAGGCTTTTGGGAACCGTTGGGGACTGGGGGACCCCCCTCCTGCGACTCTCCTGGGCCAACTTGGGACCGTTGCGATGCCTCATTGGCACATCGGGAGCGCAAAGTTCATCGGAAGCTCGTCTGCAGCTTTGAATTCCTAACCATCCTGTGGTGTTGGGTCCTCGTTTTGAATACGCATCGCCCCGTATCCTTCCATCCCTCCCTCATCCTCCCCATCCTCTGGTCGCATACCTTCTCCACACCGTTTCGGCACACCCCACCACACGTTTCGCAGCCCCATAAGGAGCTCCAAGGAGCTCCACCTAAGGCCAAAGAATCTGCCCCCGCATGCCTTGTCCACGCAATTTCGGCGCATATGTCACACGTTTCGTAGCCCCTCAGGGAGCTCGTGGCCCCATAGAAGCTCCACCTAAGGCTCAAAAATCTGCGTACGCACGCCTGGTCCACACCACTTCGGTGCACCTGTCACACGCTTCCTGACTCCATAGGGAGCTCCACTCGAGGCCCAAAAGCTGCGTCCGCATGCCTGGTCCACGTCACTCCGGTGCAACTCAAACACGTTTCGCGGCCCATAGGCAGCTACACCTAAGGCTCAAAATTCTGCGTTCGCATGCCTGGTCCACACCATCCTGGCGCACTTCTCACACGTTTCGTGGTCGAAAGGGGAGCTCCTTCTAAACCTAACAAATCTGAGCCAGCATGCCTGGTCCACGAAATTTTAGCGCACCCTCACACGTTTCGTGGCCCCCTGCGTCCGAATGGTTGGTCCAAACCATTTCAGCGCAGCTCTGACACGCTTTGCGGCCCCATAATGAGCTCGACCTAGGGCCAAAAAATCTTCGTCACTATGCCTGGTCCACGCCTTTTCGGCGCACCCCTCACACACTTCGTGGCCCCATAGGGAGCTCCACCGAAGGCCCAAGTCGCTGCGTTCTCGGGCCTGGTCCACACCATGTAGGCGCACGCCTCACACGCTTCGTGGCCCTATACAGAGCTCCACCTGAGGCCCCAGTGGCTGCGTTCGCATGTTTTCTCCACAATTTCGGCGTACCTCTCACACGCTTCGTGGCCCCATAGGGACCTCCACCGAAGGCACTGGTGGCAGCGTTCGCATGACTTCTCCACACTTTTCCGGTGCAGCCGTGACACGTTCCGTGGCCCCAGAGGGAGCTCCACATGAGGCCCCAGCGGTTGCGCCCGCACGCTTTCTCCATACCGTTTCTGCACACCCCTCACACGTTTCGTGACCCCGTAGTGAGCGTCCACCTAACGCCCCAGTGGCTGCGTTCGCATGCTTGGTCCACACCATGTCGGCGCACCCCTCACACAGTTCGTGACCCAATAGGGAGCTCCACCGAAGGCCGCAGCTCCAGGAAACGCATGCGTCACCGCGCCCCTTCCGGCGCACCCCTCGCACGTGTCGTGGTCCCATATGTCGGGGGCGGAAAAGAGGGGGGTGATGACTAGGGGGGGTGGATATCATGGCGGGGGCCATGATATTTCCCCAGATCTCATGGCGCCTCTTCTTATTTCATTACGTCCCTGGCCCCCCCGCTGGGCCGCGCACATGCCGCCGGTCATGAGGGGCGCCGCCCCCTCTTGGACGCCCCCCTCTTGGCCGCTCCCGAATATGGAGCCCCACCTGAGGCCCCAGTGGCAGGACTCGCATACGTGACCGCGCCCATTTCGGCACACGCCTCACACGGCTCGTGGCCCCAGAGAGAGAGAGTTTCACCGGAGGCTCGGCCGCAGGCTTCCCCCTGGGGCCGCGCCGACAGGCGCACGGGGTCAGCCGCAAAGGGTTACGTCCAGGTGTGATTCGTTACGGCCGACCTCTGCGACCTCATCGGCATCGTCGCTCTGTCCTTCCCACGCACACCTTAGTCCTTCTGCTGGTCCGTTCCTGTGGAGTCCACCTGTCTGGCGGTACCCGCAGCTGCATGCGACTGGGTCCTTCGCCAGGCTGGATATTGTTGACCTCTCGCCGACATAGGCAGGACCCTTCGAGTGAGTCTCGACAGATCTTGTGACGGTCTTGGGGGATTTGGGGAGCATGTTGCATGCCGTCTTGGTTCAAAGTGGGACATTACTGCTTGATTCAGGAGGGGGAAAAAAAACACAGACACAAATAATCGTCGACTCCCAGGAAAGTACGGGAAAATATGGGAAGTGGGGGGGAGGACAAAAACCCATATATTTTTTTAAGGGGAATCCTGTTATTTGTGTGTATTTATTTGTGCGTCCCAGGGCCCCTTCATTGATTTTGGAAGCCATCTTGGGCTTCTGGGGCAGTCGCGAGCCACCTTGGACGCCCCAACCCTCGCGGCGCCCCCCCCCCGTCCAGACCCCCAGGGAGGGGTCTTCACTTGGTAGATCTGGAAGCCATCCAGCCGCCCCTCGGCCAGGAGGAGGACGAGGAGGAGGAGGAGGAGGAGGAGGAGGGATCGGAGCGTCACGCCCCCAGCTTGGCCTCAGCAAGGCAAGACGTGGCGAGGCGGTCTCCAGGGCTAGCCACCAGGACGGCACGCGACGGTGCTTGGTGGCCTCCGCTGCGCTTCCGAGAGACGTGCAGCCCGTCGCAGGACGGCCCGAGGTGGCCACGGAGCTTCCCCAACTCCTCTCCTCCTCCTCCTCCTCCTCCTCCTCCTCCTCCTCCTCCTCCTCCTCCTCCTCCTCCTCCTCCTCCTCCTCCTCCTCCTCCTCCTCCTCCTCCTCCTCCTCCTCCTCCTCCTCAAGACGGCCCCGAGAGGCCTGAGAAAATCAGAAGCATAAGCTTGTTCAATGAGTTTGGCTTCTATCGCTTCCTGGCCCCCGATTGGTTCTGAAGGCTTCGATTTGGCCCAGAGGGAGGCCCAAGTCGGGCTCCGATGCCCTTTATGTGGACTCCAAGATCAGAGGATCCCAGGAGAGCTCCAAATCACGAATGTGGTAACAAGACCACCTGTAATTACCTGACGCTACGCTGGTCGCAAGGCGGTCCCAGGAGGGCTCCCCAGGCTCCCGTAAGTCCTAATGGAGCCCCGAGGGAGTCCCAAAAAGGCCCCAAATTGAGCCCCAACAGGGCGCCAAGAGAACCCATGAAGAGCTTCAAAGGAGTCCCAAGAAGTCCCCCCCACGCTCAAATCCGAAGGTTCCGCCCAACGAGGATATTCATCTGTATCGCATTATTCTCTCCGCGGTTTGCCAGGGGCTGCCACCGCGCCAGATTGCTGGCAACATCCAGTCCACAGGCAAGGGGGGAAGCGTTCGACGTGGGGGAGAGGGAGGGACAAACCACTTCCGCGAAGGAAAAGAGGAAGGCCTAAAACATCTGCGCCCGGAGTGCTCATGAGATTTCAAGACTGATCCACGAACCCTTGATTCGGGGGTGGCCAGAACCCCCGATTGATCGTGCAGGCGCCTTTCGGAAGAGGTTGCACCCGCGGCTCCGTACAGAGCGATTCGGGCGCAGGTCACGCCGGCTCCAGGGCGCAGCACGGGCCCCCCCCCCTCCCTGAGCTTTCCACCGCGGCTCGCGGTGACAGCCGCCGCTTGGCCCAGATGGAGGAGCCACGGGCTCTGCCCGAGGTCGGCGAGGAGGAGTGCCCGCCTTGCGAACTTCCAAGCTGGTGTTCCGCGCCCGACGTCACCCTGGCATGCGCGGAGGTGGAGGTTCGGGAACCGCCGACAATACTACGCTCGCAGAAATCTTGGCCAGGCCTGAATGGAATCTCCGATTGCCGCATGGGCCACAATGGCTTATTCGGCAATCTGGCGCCCAGGAGCTCACGAGTATGGCCAGCTTTGGTGTGAGCGTCTAGTGACGGTTCTCTGGAGGTGTGGCGCGTCGCAGCTTCTTCGCCGCCAAAGTCGTCGCGGTGTGCCCCGCCAGCGCTGGCGACACCGCTGTTGCTGGGACGGCGAGCTTGGGTCCACTTCGGGCGACGCCACCAGGGCGGCCAGGAGGGTGGTCGGCAGCCAGACGTTGAGCTTCTGACGCCTCGCGCCTCCCGGAAGCAGGCACTGGTCCTCAGGAATTGGCACGGCCAGGTCTTCTTGATGGACATCGGCTCCACCCATGGAACTTTCCTGGGCAGGGAAAAATTGAGCCCACGGGTACCCCGGGAGTGGCGGCCTGGCACGGTGGTCTTCTTCGCTGACCGGGACACCGAGTCTTTCAAACTGCAGCCTGGAAGGGCCCGCAGTGGTCTTAGTCCTGCAGCTCGGGCAGTGCTTGCGGCCGCTCCCACGCCAGCCGTGACGACCGCGCCGCTTGCCGTGCAGCCGACGCCGGGGCGCCCGAGGGGCATCGCGATGGTGGTGGCCGGTGCACTCGCGACAGGGGGCTCGCGGCGCGGCTGCCCACGGGCCGGCGGCACGGCCCCCAGCGCCAGCGCAGCGTCCGCCAGCAGCGCGGCGGAGGGCGGCTCTGCAGCGCTCGGCGCTGGGGGCCGCGGCCCTGTCTCGGCGGCAGAGGCGCCGCCGGCTGCCCCTGGCGGCCAGGGGCCCGCCGCAGAGGCCCTGTACCCCGGGGACTGGAGGGTGCCCGCGGACGGCCTCTCCGGCCTGCTGGGCTGGGACGCGGCGCGTGCCGCGGCGGCCCGCGGAGCGCCGGCGCCCGCGGCCGCAGAGCGGCCGGCCGCCGCGGAGGCGGCCGAGGGCGCGGCTGGGGCTGGCGGACTGCGGGCGTTGGCGGCCGCCCGAGAGGATCGGCGACTACAAAGGGTGTGGTTACGCCGGGGTGTGGTTTGCGATCGGCACCGTCGGGGCCTGGGGGGCCACGACACCGTCCTCGTCGGGCCTCCGCGGGGCGCGGCGGAGAGCTCTGTCGAGGTCCTCGCCCGCCCCCCCGGGTGTCCCTCAGGGTGCCGGTTGCAAACCACACCCTTTGCAAACCACACCCTTGGGAGTCGCCGAGAGGAGGAGGCACGGGTCGTGCTGCAGGAGCAGGTGAGGCTCCTGGAGGAGCTCGAGGAGCAGCGGAAGAGAGAGGAGGAGCGTGCGCAGGCGCAGGCGGCCCAGCAGAGGAGAGGCACGTTCCAGCACACTGTCACGGAGGGTGTCCAGAAGCATCAGGGCATTGGTTGCCAGCAGGAGCGGCTCGGATCGGATAGAGCAGGCGTGCGTCAGCGAGCCGTTCAAGATGACGAGAAAATCATCGATGCATCACAAAAGGCCCCTGTAGGCGTTACTCAATGGTTCCAGTCTGCAGATGAAGTCTCGTGTGGGTATCTGGAGCGTTCAAAAGATAGCGTGGACCATGTTGCACTAGATATTTAATCGCTTCGCTCATTACGCCGGCCCATATTGCCTCGCTGCTGTCGTTTGTTGGGGTGTTGTTGTCAATGCGGTGCCGTTGGGTCGCTGCCAATTTTCAGAGACGGTGGGTGGTGGGTCAGAGGCCTTATGGATGTTGGTTGGGCTCTCGTGATTGGCCTCTCGGGGGCCTCTGGGAGGCAGTTTTGAGGCCTCTTGGGGGCCGTGTTGGGGCCTCTTGGGGCCTCTTGGGGGCCTCTGCGGGCCCCTTGGGGACTCTGGGGGCCTCTTGGGGCCTCCTAGGGGCCTTTTGGGGCTGAAGGCTGGACTTTTCGGTTCCTGGCCCCCTTCTCGGGCATCTCTTGGGGCTTCTTTGGTGCCCTCTTGGGCCGTCTTGGGGCCCTCTTGGGCTCTCTTGGGCCCATCTTGGGGGCGTGTTGGGCTGTCTGGGGACGATGTTGAAGGCCTCTGAGGCAGTTCTGGACGCTGTGAACCCCCAAACGTCGTACATGCGACAAATTATATTTTCCGAGGAGGATGGGAGGATGTTTGCTTGTTGGGGCCCTCTTGGAAAGCCTCTTGAAGCTCTCTTGGAGCTTTTTTGCGGCCTCTGGGGCCATCTGGAGACCATCTTGAGCGTCTTGGAAAGATCTTTCAGCGACCCGGGGCCTCTTGAGCCGTGTAGGGGGCGCCCTGGCGCCCTCTTGGCGCGCACCTGGAGCGCCTCGGAGGAGTCGGCCGGGCATTGGCCGGGGTATTTTTCGTCCAGGGGTCCCCAGGGGCCGCCACGCGCGCGCGAACTAGAAATACTGGAAAGAGCGTGTTCTACCGCTGCTGGCGGAAAACCGGGGGGGGTCACTGGGGGTTCCCAACCCGTCCCCCCCCCCTCCGGAAAACCAGGGGGAGATCACTACGGGTTCGAACCCCCCCCCCCCAGTCGATCATGAAAAAGGGGGGGGGGTCACTACCGGTTCGAACCCCCCCCCGTCGAAAACCGGGGGGGTCACTACAGGTTCGGACCCCCCCCCTTCGAAAACGGGGAGGGGTCACTACGGGTTCGAACCCCCGCCCCCACCCCCCACTTGCCGCCGGCAAACTATTCCCGCTCCTCGAGACAGTTGGACAGTGGCGGGGATACTGGGACAGTGGTGGGGACAGTGGTGGTGGTGGGGATACTGGGACAGTTGGACAGTGGTGGTGGGGACAGTGGTGCGGACAGTGGTGGGGAGGGTTGTGGTGGGGACAGTGGTGAGTGGACAGCGGGACAGTGGTGGGGACAGTGGAACAGTGGTGGGGACGGTAGTGGTGGGGACACTGGTGTAGGCGATGGTGCGGGCGGTGATAGGACAGTAGTACAGTGGGGAGAGTGGTGGGGACAGTGGGGACAGTGGGACAGTGGTGGGAACAGTGGGGACAACGGGACAGCTCAGCACAGTGGGACAGCGGCGGGGACAGTGGGGACAGTGGGACAGTGGTGGGAACAGTGGGGACAGTGGGACAGTGGTGGGGACCGTGGGGAAATTGGGGAGAGTGGGATCGCGGTGTGACAATGGTGGGAAGAGTGGGGACAGTGAGACACTGGTGGGGGCACTGGTGGGGACAGTGGCACAGTGGTGGGGACTGTGGGACAGTGGTGGGGACGGTGGTGGTGGGGACAGTGGTGTGGGGACAGTGGGAACGTGGTGGGGACAGTAAGACAGTGGTAGAGACAGTGGTGGTGGGGACAGTGGTGAGGGCGGTGGCGAGGACGGTGGTGCGACAATGGGACAAAGGTACAGTGGGGACAGGTGGGGACAGTGGGGACAGTGGGTGGGAACAGTAGACAGTGGTTGGGACCGTGGGGAAAGTGGGGAGAGTGGGATCGCGTTGGGAACAGTGGTGGGGACAGTGGGGACAGTGCGACACTGGTGGGGGCATTGGTGGGGACACTGGGGACGGTGGGGGCAACAGTGGGGACAGCGGTGGTGAGGACAGTGGTGCTGGGGACAGCAGTGGGGGATGTGGTGCGGACGGTGCTGGGGACACCCGGGAGTCGTTTGCCGGCGGTGAGTGGGAGGGGGAGGGAGGATTCGAACCGGTAGTGACCCCCCCCTGGTTTTCTGAAGGGGGGGGGTCGAACCGGTGGTGACCCCCCCGGTTTTCTGAAGAGGGATAGGGGGGGGTTCGAACCGGTAGTGACCCCCCCTGGTTTGCCGGAGGGGGGGGGGGCTTCGAACCAGTAGGTGATTCCCCCCGGTTTTTTGGAGGGGGGGGGGGGGCTTCGAACCGGTAGTGACAACCCCCCGGTTTTCTGGAGGAGGGGGGGGGGGGGTCGAACCGGTAGTGACCCCCCTTGGCTTTCCGGAGGGGGGCGGGGGTCGAACCGGGAGTGACCCCCCCCCTTGTTATCCGGAGGGGGGGGGGTTAAGGGGAGGGGGGGGTTTGCCCGCGGGGGAGGGGGTGGGGTCCAGCAGGAGGGGGGGGGAGGGGGAGGGGGAGGTATTTTCGGAAGGGGGAGGGGGGGGGGAACCCCGGGCTCCGGAGGAAGAGCGGGGGGAATTTTCCACAGTAAAGCGACGGTGGATCAGGCTCTCTCGAATACTGTCAACTTGTTACCGGAGATCTTAGCACGCCTCTGGCCCGTTGGACCGGCGAATTACCGAGCAGATCGGGTTCAGCGGCGACGATGTTTGGCAGGTGCTCAGCGAGAGGAAGAAAGCAAGGGACGAGATTGTGCAGAAGGAGCTATTGATATCGTTCGCCCGAAGAGGTGTGGGCAGTGAAATTGGTGGGAAGCAGCACGGGTTGTGCGGCGATTCTCTCCAGCTTGCTCCTACGAGCGGCCAGGGAAAGGATCCAGACAGCGGAGAGACGCCTCTGCATCCAGCCTCGAAGCGCGCTTGGGACGTGGGCGAGACGGCTGACCTTGGAGCCGACCGCAGGTGTGATCAAGACCATCTCAATTTGCACTTCTACAGAGAGGACGCACAGGGCAACGCGCACATGGACGGTGGCGCTGAGGCGTCGGCAGACGCCGACAAGACAGGCAACAAGACGCCAATGCGCGAAAGTAACAGGCAGAGGATCAAGGCAAGTCGGAAGAATACATGTGAGAAGAAGGTTGGCAAGAAGGACAAGAAGCTCAAGAAGGGCAAGAAGGCAGGGAAGAGCCCCGTCGATGATGAAGAGAGCAGACAGAGAAAAGCTTCTCCTTGTAACTCTGCTTCTCCCAAGAGGGCGACATCGATCAGCAGCGAAGGAAAGGACAGCCCCATACGAAGAAAACGAGAGCAAGCAGGTAGAGCGAAGGGCGCTTCCTCGGATGACGGAACGCACAGCAGGTTGGAATCTTCGCCAAAGAACGTTGAGGCCACCAAACGGAGCCAGGCGAGTCATAAGAACCGATGTGAGAAAATGGTCGGCAAGACGAGCAAGAAGCTCAAAAAGGGCAACAAAGCGTTGAAGACCCCTGCCCACTTGGAAAAAAGGAGGCAGACTAAGAAAGCAGCATCGAGCAGCAGCGAGGGAAACGAGCACCCCACAAGAAGAAAGGGAAAACGAACAGCAGGTAGAGCGTCGGGCTCGTCCCCGGATGGCAGAACGAATAGCGTCTTGGAATCTCCGCCAAAGAATGAAGAGGCCAGGGGCAAGGTAAGCGTTGAGGCCACCAAGCAGGCGGCCACGCTGATGGATGGGACACGCAACAGCGATTACACACCTCCCCCGAAGCGGGAGCGGAGCATCAGGGCTGCCGAAAAGCAGGCGAGAACGGCAGACGGGGCGGATGGCGGCGGCCTTGGAAGATCTCGATCCATCGATTGGGTATCGATCGTGGGCGATGGGTCGCTGATCTCTCGTTCGATCGGTGATGATGCAGTCGATCGGGCTCCAGCTGTGGCAGCGTTCCGCGCTCCGTGGCGAGTCGGGCTGGCTGGAGGCCGGGATCAGTCCTTGCATCAGTTTGGGTTCGGGGAGGATTCTAAGGCGACGCCAGACGTCACTCTGAGCGAAGGCGCTCTGGCAGCAGCCGGGGGCACGGCAGGAGGCGTAGCGGGCGTAGCTGTGAGGACGGGCTTGGGCGAGAGAGTGTCGAAGCCACCGCGTGCCGCAGGAGAAGGCGCAAGAGTAGCAGCAACGCTTCGTCGAGGCCAGGGCGTGCGAGCTCTGGCCGACGGCGCAGCAGGCGTAGCAGGAGCCCAAGGCGCGGCACTGGCGGCGACGGACGGCGGGGCCTCGACACCGTCGTGGAGAAGTACGCCGCGATGGGCGAGGACGAGCTCATGAAGCTCGGGCCTACGCGGCTTGTGGAGTGCTTCAAGCTCCTGATCTTGGGAGAACCAAAAAATATGCAAACATAGACTTTCGAAGGTTCGCGCGGATTTGTCGGGACGGCGGCGATTGATCTTCCTCCCCCCGTTCCTTCCCCGGCGCGCGGAGCGCGCTGGGGGGCGGCGCCAGATGCGCCGCCAGAGGTGTGGGAAGGGAGTTCAGCGCTGGCCCAAGAGATCTGCGCGGACCTTTCAAAGTTTATGCGTATGCTGTTTTTTTGTTCACCTATAATCTCCAGGAAGGCTATTGCTTCTCCCGACTACTCATATGGCGCGCTGCGGGACGCCTACTCCGAGGCGCTGGGGCAGTTGTTAGCGCAGCCTCGGGAAAGAAAGGACCTCCATATACAGGGCTGTACTGCGCACACCACGCCCACAGCACTACACATGGCGCCACGCGCACGGTGCCATGCCGATGCTGTATCTGCAACACTTCCACCAAGCATATCTATAGGTTCCGATTGACGGTGAGGGATGACAGATTCAGCATGTTCCCTGGAGCGTTGCGCTGAGCATATTGCATTAAAACCGTTTCGGGTCCAACCAGTGACGATAAGTTTTGTCGAGAAAGTAATCGAGACATTCAATCGTTGCCGCACCTCGTTTTTTATCTTAAAACACGATGGGATGTGACACCTTCCACATAGCACCACACACATGGGATATGTCACTAAGCCATCTGACGTCTCACGCCCGTGGATTCTGGAGGCCGACAATGTCCTACAAGAGGGACAACGGTTCGCTGGTGCAGCTAATCTAGACGCCGCTATCCGTGCAGGCTCAGGCCACAGGATCAGCAGACGGATGGATTCATGGCGCATGCAGTTGTAGGACCAGACATGCCCCCCTTCCTTCTGTTCCACACCTCCACCTCCACTTTTCCCCCCTCCCCCGAATCCTCCAACCCTCCCCCATTCCTCCACACACACACACACACACACACACACACACACAAACACACGCGGTCCGACCACGCCCAGCGAGCAGGCCATTGCGCGAGCATCCAAGACTCTCTCTTCCGCCAGCGGCTGTGTTCACGAACGTCTCGCTCAACTAAGACCCCTTCCCATCCACCCCATCCCCTCCCATCTAGTACTCCTTCCCCCGTCTCCTCTCCAACTCCCTCCTCTTGCCACCCATGGTCCCCCCTGTGTTCCCCAGTCTCCCCCCGTCCCCGTCCCCCTGCCGTCCCTCACCTCCACGCCAGCAGCAACGATTCTTGCAACCATGGCCAGAGAGACTGCGCGCGTGCTCTCCCGCCAGGCCGCGGAGACGCCCTGCTGCATGCAGATTCGCTGGCGCCCTACTGCCGCAGGACCTTTCTTTGGGTCCAGGGGGGGGGATCCCCTTTCAGTTATTCCCTCCAGCGTTTTGTGGTTCCCCGTGGGGGTGTGGTTTCCACTATCCGACCCTTTATGTTTTGCCCTCGCGCTTATGTTTCCCCCTCCCACGCTCTCGACCCGCTGCCATGTTCATTGTCAGGGGCCCGCGAAGTCGATGGCTCACCCTCGACAGTTTGTTTCTTCCCCTCGGCCTTTTTGTTTTCCCGTTCCCCTGGACTCATCCCCACCCCCCCCGCTCGTTGGATGAGTTCTTCGGGGAGTGCCGGAGAGGCTTGGGATGTTGAGACGCCTGGAAGACCTTGGAGGCCCAGAGGGGTGGCCAGGAAGGCGCTGGAGTCGACCCACACGCCTCCGCCCCCCCTTCGCCTGTTGCGTGCCGCACACGGGGCCCGACCTACAGGCCAAGCGAGAACGTTCGCACAACATCACCGCGCCCGCTTCGGCACACCATCACACGGTTAGCGGCCCATCGGAAGCCTCAGTCACGGGCCAAAGCGGGGTTGTCCGCATACCGTCGCCACGCCCGTTTCGGCACAGCTTTCTCCTGACACGGCCCCTGCCCCACAGGAAGCCCAAGTTACTGGCCAAAAGGTGGGCGTTAGCATACCATCGCCGCCCTTATGTTGGCACATTCACAGGGAGCCCGAACCACGAGCCACGTGGGGGGGAATTTGCACAGCTTCGCCGCGCTCCTTTCAGCACGTCCCTCACTCGCCTCGTGCCGCAAAGGGGGACCCAATCACGCCCCACATGGGGGCGTTCGAATAGCGTCGCTGCGCCCACTTCGGCACCCCATCTACACGTTTCGTGCTCCAGGGGAGGTCCTCCTTCGTCCTGGCCGTTCCTCCTCCCCCCCTCTTCCTTGGAGAACTCCTCCTTGTTGCCCCACCTAACATGTTGTTCGGACGAGCCAGTCGTTTCGCTTGAGACTTCCCCACCCTGCACGATCTCGAAGTTTGAAGTTCCAACAGCTACGCGAATGGCTTAAGATGGTGCTCCCGTGCACAACGCTGGAAGGATAGAAGGCGCATCCCTTGCACAGCGCGGTCTCGCCTGAATGGCAGGCCCACGGGGCGTTCATCTGCCAACGGGGCCGCTTCCCGCAGTGGGCAGGAATTCTTGAAGTTTCGCGTATCCCCACCTTGCTCTTCAGTTGGTACTTGTCCCCAGTCAGCCTGTGGTACCCTGCAGGCTCCATGGATCGGTGCCCTCTGGACGTCATTGCTGGACGGCTTCCTACCGCGACCTTGGATCAGTGGCTTTGTGGGACTTGCCTGGGTATACACAGTCTCGTTCCGCCTGTGCTCTCCGCCTCATTGGACTGCACTGTGACACTGTGCTGTGCACACGCCGCGTTTCGACGGGAGCGTGCATTCGGTGCCCTTCCACCCGTTGGGTCTGGGCCGATACGTCTTGGTGTGTTTGTCTTTTCGGAACATGGATACACCTTGATGTCGCTGACGCCGCGGCTCGCTGCCGCGGCTCGCTGCCGCCGTCGGGATCCTCGTTGGACTTACCACCCCGACCTCTGTGTTACCCGACAGGCTGGGGCTGGCGTCCTCGGCCGTTCCCTTGTCCGCTCTTGGACGTTGGAACGTTTTCACGCCATTTTGGCTGCGCTTGGTGGTCTCGGTGCCTACCTCGGGCCTGTTGGACGCACCTGCATGCCCGTTCAGGGGCTGTCATGGCACCTGGATTGCATCGTCTTCCCTGGACGCTGTCGTGAGCCGCCTGATCCGCGGCCCTGCGCGCGTTAGGTAATTTAGTCGCGTCCGCGGCCCGTTCGCGGAGCTGGCGCCGTCAGGGCGTCTCCTCGTTGGCTTCCGCTGGCATTCGCCCAGTGGTCTTCTGCATGTGTTCGCTGGCCGGTCTCGGCGCGGGCAGCAGCCGTCGGCAGATGCTCGTGGTTCTGGCCTGCGCTCCCTCGCTTGGCAGCTTAATTATCTGGCACTGGGCCCCAGCTTGCCTGATTGATTCGCCCTGTGGACTTTTCCTTGCGGGCCGCAGATCAAAAAAAGTATCCCCACCCTGTCCCGCCCACGCCTCCCTCCTCCCCGCGCCTCGGGGCCGCTCAGGACTCCTCGCCTCCAGCAGTAAGGACCATCCAACTCCCCGAGGCTGACAATGGCGGCCCAGGAGGGGCACCGAGAGGCATCAGATGAGGCGAGCCCCAGGTCGCGCCAGGAGGAGGCGCAACAGCTCGCAGCTGCGGAGGACGTGGCGAGCCACACACCCGAGGTGCAATCTGGCGACGGAGACGGAGGCAACCACCAACAAATAGTGACTCCTGCGGCGGTTAGCTGCACCCCCAATGTGAATGGAAGAGTGAACTCAGCGGCGATTAGCTGCACCCCCCATGACCATGAGAGAGAATATTCTGCGGCTGTTAGTTGCACCCCCCTTCTCAGCACAACTCAGGATCAGTGTGTGCGAACACCCAGGGTGGACATTCCGAGGGGCCTCGAGGCCTACGAGAGCGCCCACCTCAGGAACACATTGGATCAGGGCCGCATCAGCTTAGGGGAAACCCAGGAGATGACCATGGCCCCTAGCCCTCGGATTCGGGGCCTGGCCGAGGGGTGTGGCGGTGCTTCTCCTCGCCTCTCCCCTTTCGGGCCTGGCGGGTGTCCCCCGCCCTCGGCCTCGGGGCCTGCCAGACGTACTATCCGACGTCGGGGCGGTTGCCCCCCCTCCCAGGGCCGCCCGTGTTCCGCGCTTCGTGGTCTGGCTCCCACTCTCTGCGGAGTGTGCTTCGGCCCTGGAGGACCTCGTGGTGTGTGTTGGGTCTCGGGTCTGGGGGACACTGCCTATCGGCGGACTGGGCCTGGCTTGCCTCCTGGCCCACGTGTCCTCCGCAGTGCAGCTCCCCCAGGCGCCTCGCCCTTTGACACCGCAGGAGGCAGCACTACCACCAGTGCCGCCCTTGCCCTCACTCCTCCGCTGGCGGTGCGTCCCCGCTTGCGGGCCCTCCCCCCCCTCTCTGAGGCCTGGCGCCGTGCCGGCACGCGCTGCGTGGCCCACAGTCGCTTGTTCCCCCCTTGCCCTGTGGAGTGGTCACTCGGGTGTTGGGTCGCCACGGAGTGGTTCAGCCTTCCGCAGCAGGACAGCACCCAGGCTCCCACCAGCTGCCGGCCAGTGCGCCGCACCAGTTCCGCGACAGCTGCTTGGCTTGCAGACGTCGTCGCGGGCGCTCGGAGTCTGGCGCCCCACAGGCGACTCACTCCATCGGCCTCCCCTTTGCCTCCACTGCAGCAGGACCCCCCCTGGCAGGCTGCGCAGGCGCTTCACCACTAGACGGCGGTGCCCCCCACGCCTGCGGATCTCTTCGCTTCAGGGATCGGCATCGCAGTTGCGCCCTGGGCACAGCCGCATGGCTCCACCTGGCACTGGGAGGCGGATTACTGAGGTTTGGGCGCCGTGTGGTTCAGCCTGGTACGCCTGTACAGCTTTCGGTTTTCCTTCTGATTCGAACACCCTGCCGCTTGTCCACCTCGGTTCACACTGCGGCGCCTGTGTGCGTTCGCTTGTGAAGTTAGTTCATTATGTTTTGTGCATGTGCAACTGCGCTCTTGTTGTGCAGGCGCGAACCGGCTTGCCAACGTGGCGGCGGTGTTCGCTAATTCGCGTCGTTCCGCACGCCCCAGACTTTGCCTCTCGCCGCCAGACCGTTGTCGCGCGGCCGCCGACAAAAAAAGTATCCCCGCCAGCCTCCGAAGCCTGGTTCAAGCCATACCGGCTCGAGCCATCTGGCGGGATTCCCGCCGCTCAAAGGGGCGCCCGACGCAGCGGCCGCGCGGCCAGGCCCGCGCTCGCACGCCCGCCGCGCCACTATCGCTTGGCTCTCCCCTGGCGGCAGCCGCCACTCCCCCCAACGGGCAGCGCCGTTAGCGCCATGGAGGGACGGAATGGGATCGGAACCACGGAGACCCCCGAGGTGACCACGGGTCGGAGGATTGTCCAGAGTTCATGCAGG